ACTTACCATAAAATTTCGAATCGACCTATGAAATTTTGTGCCGTCGTAATAACCATTCTGGCAGTGTTTCATGAAGTTTTCACAGGTTTTCGGAACCATATCACAATAAAGTTCCAAATTCAAAGCCCCAAAGTTCGTGAGGAATCTTACATATCCTGAACAAAAAGCAGATAAGTGAGAATAAGAATATATAGTTTGAGTAAAAATCAACTCAATTACAATAACATACCTTTCTTTTTGACTCTCTCGTATCGCACTAAATCTTCTGCAATCACAGCTGCTTGATGGGTAGTCTCTGCCGGCATTATCGTTGAAGTAAACCCTGCAGCAACCGCACCAGTGGAATAATGCGCCTACATACAAATAAATAATAAAATTACTTTTCCAATATTCGCTATAATAACTACATTCACAATAATTACATACATAATAATTACAAAGCAGGAAAAGCAGCTTTGTAATTATTATAAAATTCTTTAATATGATTGTGAATCTTGCTCCAAGTTCCTCATTAGATCTAAATGTATAAACAAATCATATTAAAGCAACATTTAAGAACAGTTAATTTAACAACAACAAACAATTTAACAACAATTACAATTTTTTTTTTGCTAAGCGCAGCCAATATAAGTTTCTTGCAAATGATGTACTAACAGCGTTAAATTTATCAGCCTTCTGCATAGAAAGCTCATCTTTCTCGTTACTCTTTGCCGGCTTGTACTCTCTCTCTAATTCAATCAGGATCTCCTTGGTTTCTGCTGATACAGTTTTTAATTTTGCGTTTGGATTATTCCTCTCTCTCACTATCTCTGAAAAATATCATTCATACATATATAATTTACAAAATTGAATGTGTTAACTATAAAACTCATTCTATTGAACTGAATCTGTTGAGTGAGAAGCCTACCTTCATCTTCCACTCTTATGTTATTTTTAATATGATGAAAAGTTGACAGATTGAATTTCATTGCATTATTTGGATCCTGAATTGTGATAATGTCCTTGCGAGTGAATGGCTGATCGTTCATCAAATCTTTCCAATTTCCAGTTTTTATGTTCAACTGTTCAACAGCCTGAAAGAATAATTTTTTTATATACAAATATATTAGATTAGATTAAAAAAAAACAAAGTAGACTCTAAAGTGAAATAAAAATAGAAATATTATACTTTATACACTCACCTCATAGGAAAAAACATTTCCTGTAGTTTTAATAGCAACAATATGCGAATGTTTTGTAAATAATTTGAAAAGAACAGGGCACTGATATTCATTTTGAGAATTCTTATAAAAGTTCAGTTTAACTAAGCTCTTGGCATCCAGTGGTTTTCCTGTTATGGGATTGTGCTTATACTGTTTTATATATTGCAAAATAGCCTCCAGCTCAAACACGTTGCCATGCAGGTCGCAATAAGGGTGCTCGAAGGGCTGAAGAGATAAGCAACAATGATCGTATGGCAATCGCCTGAATGTCTTCTCCTCGCTTGTTTCCAGATTCGTTCCCGATTTTCTTCCACCGTATAACGTCGACCACTCCGTGTACGTTAAGTACCTGAAGGAATTTGGAAGTTTGTCAAATGATTGGAAGCAAAAGCGAGATATCTTGTTGTGTAGTTAGGCTATAAGATTGTACGAAGAATAATAATGCAACTCACATTTTATCTTTCTGATGTTGGCGTTTCCCCATTTTGAAGTAGCTTTACAGCTGTCTTATTTAAGAAAATGTCGCAGTAATTGGCAGTAATATGAAACGAATTACGATCAATTATGAACTGAACAAATGTCTCACAAACTTGAATTCACGATACTTGTCAATTCTGTTCGTCCATCGAATAGTTGATATATACAGATATACAAGTCTCGCCGACATGTTAGACCCTTAACGAATTGGTCAAATTGAAAGAACATGGCGAAATCGACCGCGACATTTAAAGATACAAAAGATTTATTTGACCGCTTATGACGTTTTCTATCGTATTGATGCATTAATATTTCATTTAAAAAAAAAATATAAATGAATGTTCATTCTGAAAAAAATATCTTTCTAAATCGCTTCAATATTATATTTTTATTTTAATGTTATCTATATTTTTAATAATAGATAAATTTCACAACAATGAATCCCATTGAAACTATTAAAAATATACAAAAAAAAAAATGCTGTCGTAATTTTTCTTTAACACGAAAATCAATATATTTGTATTTTAATATTACATATCGCAATATTATATATCATAATATTAGGGTTATTAATTATCATAAATTTAAAATTTTGTAAATTCTCTGGAAATTCCAGGTATCTTTATTCAAGAGAAAATCAGAGAATTTTTTAATATAATTTTGAAGTAAATTAGAGTACAAATAATGCAAATAAATTACATATTTTAGAATTAAACATAGATTTCTATTAATATTAATAAATTGAAAATCAAGATAACGAAGTTAATTTGCAAATTTTCGAGATATAGGATCGCAATAGAAAAAAAAATTATATAATCTCAATACATTAAAGTTAATTATAAATGTTTAGATAATTTTTTAATAAAACATAAAATTTTTAATTGTTTTATTTCTTTAAATAAAGCAAAAAAAAAATAGAAAACATTTTCCAAAATATAAAATATAAAAATATAAATACAGTAGTTACTAGAAATTAAGCTATTACTCTGAAAAATAAAAAAACAGCCATAGATGTTATAAAATTAGAAAATAAATGTAATAATCTTTAAAATTCTTCTTATAAATTAATATTTTCTTATAAATTAATATTTTTCAGTTTCTGTAACAACTGAAAAAGATTTTAGATTCACTACTGTATTTAATTAGATCTTTGGAATTGAACTATCAAGACGTAGATATGAAGGACTAGAACTTCGATCGCGAATTGTTATCGTGCAAAAAGTATTAAGAGCAATAATAAAAAATATTATTGAGATTTCCTCGTTGAATTAACGAGTACTGTTTTAATATCTCTACTCTTTCTTTTTGTATTTTGTTATTTTTTTCTATAGCTTCTCTTATCTTTCTTAATTCCTTAATTTGTTCTTCTTCTATTTCCATATATCTTTTTCTATAATTATCAATAGGCTTATTTCTCTTTCTAAATTTTTTATTTCGTAAATTTTTTTTTAAAATACTTGATATACTGATAGTTGAACTAGAAGTAGATGCGACCGATAAAACATTTTCGATTTTTCGATCACTTAAATTCTTAGAAATAGAATTTTCAAATCTAGTAATCTTTTCAATTTCATTCTGAGTATCATTACCATTATCATTATTAAAAAATACAGCTGATGCCATTGCTAAGTTTGAATTTACTGAGCTATCAGCAAAAACAATTTCGGACATAATGTCAAAATAAATCCAAGACATTCTACCAGATCTTGACATTTTCTTTTTGTCACTATTTTTTATAATTAAATATCTCATCTTCAAATTCCTAAACTTTTTGTTTATTGCATCTGCCTTAACTTTATACCCATATTTTATCATCTCGTCAGATATTTCTTGCCAAAGTTGCTTTTTCTTGTTTTCAGGATTTCTAAAGCGTTCAGCCCTTTTTTTGTACTCTTCCAGCATTAAAAAGACAGCTTTTTCATTCCAGGAAAAATGATCTAGAAAAATCATTTTGGAGTATTTTTTAAATATTATAGAAAGAGATAATAAATAGAATTAGAACGAAAAGTTTTAAATATTTTAATAATTATAT